GAACTTAGACGAAAATTTAGCATCTCGAGCAGATCCCAGTGAAGTATCACCTTTAACTAGAGCTCTGAAATTGCCTTTCAACAAAGTACAAGTGGATATGACTGCATTTAGAAACAATGTTATAAATATTCCACAAGAAGATATGGCAGCTTTTAGTGAAAACATCTCGCACCCTACTTCTCCGACTATTCAACACTCTGCTTCTCCGACTATTCAACACCCTACTTCTCCAACTACTCAACACTCTGCTTCTCCGACTATTCAACACGCTGCTTCTCCAACTACTCCACAACCTACTTCAGAAAGTACAGTTCGCTCGTCAGGTAGAATTGTGTGTAAACCAACTTTTTATGGAGTTGATGAACAAAAACAAACTGATTTCTATGATGAGAGATAAATTTAAAGTTGTATCAACTTTTAACTAATATTTATTAGATGCATTTAATGACAAATTTGATACATTTTTAACCTGATTTTAAATTTATATTGAGCTTTCAGACTTACGTGATGTTTTGTAAAACTTACGTAGCATAGAAATAACGGTTTTTCTACAGCTAGATTTTAGATCTTACGCATAAGAGAAGTACATTTTTTAGCATTTAAAGCCGCGCATAAAAAAACGCGCACTTTATCACGCGACTTTATCGCTGAATATTTTTTTTTAAGGGGGAGTAATGTCAAGGACATATTGTGATTGATTGATCTAATGATATATTTGATAATATTGTGATTGAGTAATCTAATGATATCATTGATAATACATTCTAACAATTAACTTATACAGGATGTTATCTGTATCTGGAATCAGTGTGTATCATTTGTAAAAGACCATTGTAACCAACTGACAGTACGACACCTCGTTTACACAATCAATGTCTGAAAGGCTACACACGTCGCATATGAGGACAAAAGCGCGGGAAATTTTGGCACCACTGTAGAGTGGTGCCAAAATCGTTGGGTGGGTTAATAGCTAGAGCCCTTTTTACCGCCGTGAGGCGGGCGCGTGCTACTGCAAGCGCAAGGGCTCTGGATAGAGCAAATTAAATGTTTACAACATTTTTTACTAAATACGTGCTAGTCTGCAGCATTTTTATTCAAAAGTTGGGTAGAATTAAAAATAACCCAAAAATCGTCATATTTAGATGGTTTAACACGTTCAAGGCTACTTTATAACGAATAAATTAAGATCATGGATACGATGTTGTTACATTGAAACGTCGAATTATTCCTTTCCTGATTATAACTGGCTGGTCACACACATCTCAATTAAATTCTCCTAGGATACTGTTTTCCAAGTCTTGTCCTATGAGTAAAGTATGTGTGAGAAAGTTTTAATAAAATAAATTTATATTTGTTTAATATTTTAAAAAAATCTGAGAAAGAAGTATAAAGAAATTTGTAACTAGCACTGTATAATAGTTTAAGATATTTATAGCTTATTATAACCATTGATACAAAGGCCATAACTACACGGTATAAACTAAAGCATGTTTTAGTGTAGATTTTTTGTCACAACAAGACTGCAACCTACAGTAACAACTATAAACAGAACCCCCTAATGTCTGCTAACAATTTTCTTCTTGTCCTAATATGAGCCTTGTCTCTAAAAACTTAATTGAACTAGCTTTTTGGTGTGTGCAAAAGCTTTCAGGCACGCGCATTCCTTGCCCGTTAGTTACTTGTCCTTCCAAAACCAAACTAGCAGTCAAGGACAAAAAGTCTATACACCAAATGGGCATTATATTTCATGAATTGTTGTACATCTTTTTATTCTGTAAAATGTGCTAAAATTAAATTTCTTGTTTCATTCATGTTTCATTGAGAGTCTTTTGGGGAATATTTTGACTTGATATAACGACGTCGTCGTAATGACACAAGTGACTGATCAACCACCTTATTTGATATTGTGTTTTTAAAATAAAGTATTTATATTTTTAACTTGGTGTGTAAATATTTTTAGGGATTTTATTTTTTTTTAAAATTTCAGATCTTTCATACTATTTGTTACTAAAATGCTCATTGTAGCCTATGATATTTAGATTTTCATCATCATGAGAGTCTTTTCCTTGTTGCAACAAACGGGATCAATCAAAATTTTGCCCCAGAAACATTACAACTATGCAACTTATAAATAATGTTCCGATCTGGATGTTATATATATTCAGGTGCCTATGGAACCATTGTAGTTCTGAACTTTTTAAAACCCCTGTTTTGCAACAGATTGTTATAAATATTACATAAACAATATCAGAGGCGGCTGCTGAGGGCGGTTGCTGCGTCCAGGCATTCGTGGACGCCCTGATATTATTATCTGGTGCTTGAAAAAGAGTATTCGGAAATATCGCAATATATAGCTTGTTATTTTACTCAAACGTTTGACTGTAAACGCACGCATGATCTTTGTGAAATCATGTTGTGAGGCGTCCGATCCTCGTTTGGATACCTCAGCCATGCAGTAATAACACACAGTTAATTGAACATGTTATAAAGGACATCATTGCATCAACGTACTGGACCGATTTGAACTATCTACTATCATACTGCGTGGCTGAGATCATACACATGTGGTGTCCTATTTCACTCATTTTATAAGTTTGTGTTTGCTGTCGCCTGTTACACATTACATACAAGCCCTCTGAGTCCGTCGATCAAACATAACGCCAGCCAGCTCCCACAGGCCGCCCCTGATATATATATATGTCTTTCAATTGTATTATAGCCATTATTTATGATAAAGTTTGAGATGTTTGTTTTTTGTTCTGCTTTTAAGAGCTGCTTTAAGGGGGCCAGGGGGGGGTCTTTTTTATTCGATTTTGAAAATCGTGGACCTCATTTTTTGATGATTTTTCTAGGTCCAAGATTTCTAAGGCCTATCCCAAAATTCGGCTCGACAGATCTCTTCTAAATGATCCCTAGAACATATCCTGAAAGTTTCAGGGTGATTCCTCAAAAAATGTAGGAGAAGATAGATTTTTAGACTCGATTTTCAGGGGGGACCAAAAGCAGCTGATAGATATCAATTCCCTCTATCAGAAACATTTATAAAATCAATTTCAAGAGAATTTCGATGAAGACCCCCCCCCCCCCCCCCCCCCCCGCGGCCCCCTTGAAAGATTCTGGCATTCGATAAAGAGTGTATTGAGTGCAGAAGTTCATTCCATATTCAATATAAAGTTGTTTTTTTCAAGTGTATGATTTCCTGCTTTCAAAAACAATTTTTCTAGGTAATGCCGGAAGAAAAATTTAAAAGAAATGGTAAAATTTACTTTGGTGTTGATGACATACCTGAGAGAAGTGAAAGTGCAGTTCGCACATTAACAGAAGTTATCAACTGTTACAATGACAACTCACATCAAGATGACGCTTTCAATCAAAAGAGAAACGAAGCTGTTGACGATCTGAGAGCAATTTGCCATAATACATTTGGCCCCAGTGCAAATGTATACATTTTTGGATCATGTATAAATGGCTTTGGTACCAAATCATCTGACGTTGACTGCTTTGTCATGTCAAATTATGACTTGAAGCGCAAAAATACCTACTTTAACCCACTCCGCGATTCTCTCAAAAGAAATTCCTCACCCTTTACAATGTTAAACTTTGTAAGGCGTGGTAATCATCCAATTCTTACTGTTAAGCACAAGAAGAATGCAATGGAGTTGGATGTAACTTTTTCCTCTAATCACGATCCCAAACATGATGTTTTGGAAAACTCTGCATTATTGAATACGTATGCCCAAAAGAATATAAAAGTTCCTGCAGTAGGACGTTTCATCAAGTATGTGCTTTCAAAGGAACCTTCATTAGGTAGTGCCAAAATAGGTGGGCTATCTTCATATGGGCACATACTCATGTACATTAACTTTCTCCTCCACGGGAAGCACAAAATAGATCATGTTATTGTTAAGCCTCCCTACATTAAACAAGAAGAAACCATTGCAGCTTCAGAGGGTGAAATTTTCCTTGATTTCTTACGGTTCTATGCTTGTGAGTTGGACAGTTCCATGTATGCTATTGACATAAGAGACTTTGACCTTAAAAAAGTTACTCAGAAAATGGATAGATCTATTTTCACGCTGGAAGACCCGATAATTGAAAAGAATCTTGGAAGAACCATGTCACCGAAACGAGTTTATGAGCTGAAGTTGTTTTACTACCATTTGCTTTGCATATTATCAGATCATGATATGAGTGATTCTCAATTAATGGATTTCATCAACGAGTTAGGGGACCTTGGACTTTCGCAAAAATGGGCCCCCTTGCTTCATCCATTTTGTGGTAAGTCTGTAGTTGTTGGTTTTCTTAGTGTTATGATTTAGATATATTTTACTTGCCTGATAAGAACGAGTGTCTACCATAGTATCATAGTGATATTAAGCTAGGATAAGGAATATTGATGAATTAGACAGCGTAAATTTCAGGGCTTTGAATGATGCGCTTGCAGACTTGCATAAAATTGCAGTGCAGTTTAACTAGAATTAGAATTTAAAGCACCAAATCGAAATATGTATTATTGAAGATTAACAATAATCGATTATACAATAAGTTTTCAATGAATACTCATGATCGCTGACATGTATTTTCTGTTTCAGAACCTGACATTGAAAAACCTAATTCTCGTCCAAAAAAGCGGGATAACAAACCTAGAAGGAAAGGCTCAGAATCAAACCCAGAGCCTAGCGAGAATTCAAACCAACAAACATCTGTTGGAAGCCCTTCTAAAACAGACGTACAAGCCAGCAACAAAAAGACTCCCACTAAAAAGAACAAGAGACATAACGAAAAGAAAGAGACGATATCTGTGAAGGAGACCCTTATAGTTCATGAGGAAGGAGTTATAATCCAAAATGACCCCTATCTACTGGAGGACATGATGAAGGAGATTGAGACTCCAGAGAAGGGCTCACCACAACCTCAGAACAATCGCCAAAAACTCATAGATGTCAGATGTAAGACTTTAGATAAAATGAAACATAATATTTTCCAGAGCTACATAATGCTTCCTTTTCCAAATTTTAAGTTTGAACCAGTATCATTTAATTTAATTACACCCACTACGCATAGTGATGCAGGATTTTTAAAAGCTTCATATCATATATCAAGAACAATCCCACCTTTATTAAGAGTTAGACTTTTGAAAGCAGCTTCATTTTCTATTTTGTCACTTTTGAGAGTGCGGTGATCACATTATTTGTATTAATGTTCGAAAAATCATAATTATATGTATGAATCATTTTCAGTCACTATAGGCAGCACATCAAATTCATACAGTCAGGGTTTTTTAACAAGATTCTTTAAACCGTTTATTTGCCTCAAAAAGAAATGAAATATATGAAAAATCAAGAAATTGGAAATATAGACGTTTATCGGATTTAGCACTTTTTTTGCAATTCCCAGCTTTCGTAAATATGCCATCGAAATTTGCACAAAGTTGAGAGCTGAGAAATTTGCATGTGACCAAAAATTGTGACTGATAGATGAATATCTTTTATTTGTATTGAAAGTTTCTTCGTAATTGTTCACTGGTAATTTAACTAATTCTTCTCATCTTGTATTTGCAATCGTTGGTCATATGTTGCATATCTGATTTATTTTGATGGCCCATTGACCATCACATCCCTAATGTGTGATGTATATAATAGTTCAACCACAATCTGAAATCCAAAGCTTGTTCCATGTACTATAAATATCATCTACATTTGTTAACGTCGCGTATCTCCTAATTACTTAAGTTAATTAATTAACTAATTACTTTAGGGCCATGGCATCAGAAACAGCACGTGACAACAGCTCGGACCATGCATTCGATTTCAAATCCTTTATTAGGACTTACAGAGAGAGGGAATTGCTTGAGAAAGATATAAAATCCTTTGTTCATGCAGTCTCCACTGGGGCAGTCAACGATTTCCAATTGTGCACGTGGCTTTGTTCTGTCAATGAAAAACCACTCAAATTTTGTAAGTTGTTTTTTACTTTTTTTTTCTCTGTCAATAAAAAACCATCGAAATTTTGTGAGTTGTTTTTCAAAGTTGTTTCCCTTTTTAGGTATACTATATAATATCCAGGGTGTCCCAAAAAAGGCGATAAATTTACTTTTGTTAACAACTTGCCTCAAATTTTAAAACCTAACGACTTGAAACTCCAAAGACACTCCACAAGAAACCTGTTCATTTTGCCCATTCATTTTTTGTGAGATATAGATAGGCAGTAGGCACTGATTGGATTTCTTAAAGAGCTTGACAGCTGAGCTGCATTTAAAATTAGTGCATTATGTTCGGAATTTGAAACCAAATTGACTCCAAATGTTTCAAGGCTCATTCAGGAGCCGCGTGACAATCATGTGATCCACCATGTCAACAGCTCGAGTACCCAATTAGTTCACGACAATAAATTGCTCATTACACGACTATTGTGATGTTTTCAAGCAAATGTTTGTCCAAGCATCACATGATCTTCACTTGTTGTGATGACGTCACGTGTTCACTTGGTTCTCTGTTGTCGCGGTCGGGACACACTGTATTGTTTTATATCACCAATGTTTGGTTGATCACCACTTGCACAGCCTTAACAAACGAAATATTTCATGCCTCGGTTAAAAATGTAGTTAAAACATGTATATTGCACTGAATATTACCCCTGAAATAACATTCTTATCAAGAACCCACACTACCACATTCACTGTGACGTCATCAAAATATCACGTGACGTCATCACAACACCACGTGTCTGCATCACACTGTGTAGGCCACCTTCCCCCCTCTTCTAACCCCCTCATTACCTACAGTAGAGACAGCCAAGCTAACTAAAGCAATGATAGAGGAGAATAAGAAGCTGGAGGTGAAGGAGGAGTGGGACGTTGTGTACTACAAGGCTACTGATGTTATGGGAGACTCCAGGTAAGATATTTTTTTAAACTAATTACAACACTACAAATCTATTACACTTATTGAGAATTATGTTATGTAACACGATGGAAGTATTTTAAGCAGGCATATCCTGTCCAAACCCAGGATACATGACATAGAGAATTTGGTTTAACTTGTCTCAGACCCACAGCTAGATCTGTGAATTTTAGGCAGACTCACTCGACAGCGGCCAAATTTTGCGCATTATGAGCCCCTATTAAATAGTGGGTCTGGCCATCAGAATGATGGGTCTACACTCCAGAAGAGTGGGTCTGGCAATCAAAAATATTTTTGTCAAGCTAGATCTAAAATAAAAATAAAATAAAAATAGATCTGTAAATCTATCAAATATGTTTTTAAAAAAACCTTAACTCCAGGTGTCTCGTTGCTGTTCCTCTCTTGGCTGCTCTCGGATTTAAAGTTCCCTCTATTCAAGGTAAGGTTAATGTTTTCTTTTTGATGCGACAAGGAAATTTCCCCAAGAAAACATCCGGATTTTACGTAAGATTAATGATTAAAATTATGTTTTACACAGAAAATCTGGTGATTTTGTGGATTAAAGGGATTAAATTGACACAGTTTTGCATAATTTTAAGTATCCAGAGAATATAAATAATGTGTCCAAAAAATGTTAATATTTCAAAATACTTCACCACACAGTAAAAACATTCCCATCACAGTTGGTAACAACGTCTCTCTGGAGAAGCTGAAATGCATTCCTGGGTTTAACCCAGAGTTATCACGCGATCAGATGAACTCTATGATGGAAGATATCGGCTGCTTTGTCGGGTACTCTCAGGTAGCCTTTATGTAAAATGTACAGTGTATAATGTATAATGTACACTGTACAGTGTATTATGTACAATGTACAGTGTACACTGTACAATGTACTTTATGTTACCTAAAGTTTTTAAATTAATTTAAATTTTTTAATTGATAAGTTAATTGATAATCTCAGCATTATATTATTCAAGCGTGGTTTTACTTTGAATTTCATGAAAATACATCCTGCCTTATTTTTTGTTAGGTATAGTCAAGCGCGTTAGAATGAATAGGGTACAATGTATAATGTACAAGGTATAATGTACAAGGTATAATGTACAAGGTATAATGTACAATTTATAATGTACAATGTGTAATGTACGATGCACAATGCAATGTATAATGTACAATGTATAATGTATTTTTGATGCTTTAACCTCAGGATCTCAACCTGGTAGAAAGTAAGATGAACATGATCATGAAGAGTGTCGGAACTTTAAGCAGCTTGATCTTGCTCGTTACTTCAGCCTGGTAAATTTGTTATGAAATTTGAATAATTAACATTTGAGTTATATATATTATGCAGTTATGCATGTAATCAGATTAATTAACATGTAATTAACATGTAATTAACATGTTATGCGTATAATCAGAATTTAATTAACACGTGATCACTTAATGATCAGTATTATAATTTTAATAAGATCGGTAACCGATTTAATACATATTGTTTCAGATGGCTGCGTGCGGTTCTGCCTACTACTTTGGAGATATGAAGTGTGTTGGGAGAGGCATTGGTAAACGAGAAACTGTGTTCAAACAGGCTAACGATATAACTGCCCTCACCAAACAGGTGCGTATTGGTCACATATTGTGGTCACTTATTGTGGTCACTTATTGTGGTCACTTATTGTGGTCACTTATTGTGGTCACTTATTGTGGTCACTTACTGGTTACATATTGTTCACGTATTGGTCATATATTGGTCACATATTGTTTACGCACTCATTACACAATGGTCACAAACTGATTTAAACATAATAGTCATTATTGAGCTAAAGTATTTTAAACACATAGCAATATTAAAATGAATATGAAATCACATAATTTAGCAAATTCGATCACTATGTACACTATGTACACTATGTACACTATGTACACTATGTACACTATGTACACTATGTACACTATGTACACTATGTACACTATGTACACTATGACACCCTGCTGTATAAACAGTGATTTACAATACAACACTCCCCAGTTGGGAATTAAGTGTAGAGTACAAGTGAGTGACGCAACCGTTCCCTACAGTAAGATGCTGGGATACCCTCTCGAGATACAAGATGTTATTGAAATTCTCTCTGGTATGCTGTTTAAATAGTTCAAGGGGGCTATATTTATGAGTCGCATTTGAACTTGATTTCTCTTGGAGAATTTCTCTTTAGACTCTTAACTTGCGAACAAATTGAAGCAGCAAACTTTAGGCTAGAAACTTTATTGAATTGAAATAATCATTCCACGTAACAACGTCTTCTTCAGTTCTCAAATTATTTGTTATACAGTAGTATAGTAGTGTTGAAAGTATTAAAATTTTTTTAATACTTTCAACACTACTATATAACAAATAATTTGAGAACTGAAGAAGACGTTGTTACGTGGAATGATTATTTCAATTCAATAAAGTTTCTAGCCTAAAGTTTGCTGCTTCAATTTGTTCGCAAGTTAAGAGTCTAAAGAGAAATTCTCCAAGAGAAATCAAGTATGTTGTTTGTTTGTTTGTTTGTTTGTTTGTTTGTTTGTTTGTTTGTTTGTTTGTTTGTTTGTTTGTTTGTTTGTTTGTTTGTTTGTTTGTTTGTTTGTTTGTTTGTTTGTTTGTTTGTTTGTTTGTTTGTTTGTTTGTTTGTTTGTTTGTCTGTCTGTCTGTCTGTCTGTCTGTCTGTCTGTCTGTCTGTCTGTCTGTCTGTCTGTCTGTCTGTCTGTCTGTCTGTCTGTTTGTTTGTTTGTTTGTTTGTTTGTTTGTTTGTTTGTTTGTTTGTTTGTTTGTCTGCCTGTCTGTGTGTCTGTCTGTCTGTCTGTTTGTTTGTTTGTTTGTTTGTTTGTTTGTTTGTTTGTTTGTTTGTTTGTTTGTTTGTTTGTTTGTTTGTTTGTTTGTTTGTTTGTTTGTTTGTTTGTTTGTTTGTTTGTTTAAACAAATTATACCACAAATATAATGTTTTAATACTTTCAACACTACTATATAACAAATAATTTGAGATCATGAATACGATGTAGTTACATTGAAACGTCGAGTAATCTCCTTTCCCTAATAAGAGCATTTTTACTTGTCGCAACAACCGTGATAAAGATAATTTTACCCAGAATACATTACAACAATGCGACTCATAAATAATACTCCAATCCGGATTTTACACAAATAGAGAACCGATATTTGATATTATTAGAGAATAAAAATTAAAATGTTTTTAACCACCTCAGGTGAGGGTTCGTCTGATGTCGTAGATGTGCTTGCTCTACAGTGTGCCCATTTGCTGCAAATGTCCAAGAAAGTAGAATCTTTGAAGGAGGGAGAGAAAATGGTAGGATATTCCAAAATATTTGGAAACAAATTGGTTTCGCGTCTCAGCTCCGGTGCCGGCTGCCCGTTTCATTATATCTTTAATACCAATTGACATTATAACTGATCATTTTCACCACCAAACTACCATCTACTACAGGTGTTTGATGTGCTAAGAAACGGGGGAGGACTAAAGAAGTTTCTAGAAATGTTGGCAGTACAGGGCGTGTCACGTGATGTGGTAGACAAGCTGAGGGATAGGAAGTATGATGAGGTCTTCACACTTGCTGGTTATCAGACTACCATTGAGTCTAGAATCCCTGGTTAGTGAACTTTAATTGAACTTTAATTGAACTTTAATTGGACTTTAATTGGACTTTAATTGAACTTTAATTGGATTTTAATTGAACTTTAATTGAACTTTAATTGAACTTTAATTGGACTTTAATAATTGGACTTTAATTGGACTTTAATTGGACTTTAATTGGTTTGTTTTAGTTGAGTGATTTTGGTTCAGACTTTCTGGACTGAATTCACCATTCAGCCTCAGTTATATGTGATATTATGCAACATATCACAAAATCAGTATGTAAACGCATCACAATGTACTTTTATATTTAATACTAGAAAGCAGGTGTAGTACTCTTTGAAAGAAATTTTTAATCGCATCAAAAAATATCTATCCCAACCAAAGATACAGCCGATTTAAATGTAAAACACTTTAAACACGACATAATAACAACTTACCAAGCCTAATTTTCACGTGGGCGGTCAATACAATCAGACACTTTCGAATTATAATGTAGACAAGGAAACGTACTATACTGTGGAGTTGATAAGTTTTCTCCTATTTGTTTCTTTAGAGGATGTTCTTTGGAAAGACAAACCGATTAAATGCGCGGCTTTAAATATACCGAAATGTTAGAATGTTCTAGGGGAGTGGAAAATAAAATAATAAACGGAATATTATTCGAATTATACGGTAAACTGAGTCAAAATGTCGAAATCATGGAGTCAAGGAATATCACGTGAACATAAAACGTGATAAAACCAACTTAATAATTAATTTAACAATCAATACAATATTTGATTCAATATTTAATAGAGCAGTTGATACTATTACGTTAAGTTTGTAAGTGGTACTACAGAATACAGATCTGTGTAATTATTATATTTGCTATAATCTGCAGCATTATGTGAATACAGTAAAACCACGATTGGGGGAAGTTTGGGGAAAAGGAAACATCCGCGGTAAATCAGGGTCCACGGTAAATCGGAGTCCGCGGTAAATCGGGTCCGCAGTAAATCAGGGTCCGCGGTAAATCGGGATCCGGGGTAAATCGGGGTTTTACTGTACGTGCCAGCGAAAAGATAAGCACAAAAGGAGGATGTGACTTTTAACAAAACAATGATAATTACTTTGCTTGTTCGAATATGTTTACGTACACGTGTCAACAAAAAGACAAGTGCATACAGGTAACATGAGGAATGAGGATGTGACTTTTAACAAATTAACATCAACCCATTTCATGGAATAATCACGTTGCTTTTTCAAATAAATATAATTACCAGCTTGTTGGTCAGTATTCAATATTAAATAGCAGTTTGATTTTTCATCTCAAATTTGACACCCTTTTTGAAAATGAATCGGCTGACAGTTACTCCCTCTGGGATAAGAGCAATGATCGTTTTCACAGCAATATATCTGCAAACTATCCTCTACCTCTCCGGAACTTGTGGCTCTGCCTCCTTCTACATTGGAGCGCTCAAAGAACGCGGTAACTCTAAACTGTCCTACCTATATCCTACCTATTATATCCTACCTATATCCTACCCATTATATCCTACCTATATCCTACCTATTATATCCTACCTATATCCTACCTATTATATCCTACCTATATCCTACCTATATCCTACCTATTATATCCTACCTTTATCCTACCTTTATCCTACCTATTATATCCTACCTATATCCTACCTATTATATCCTACCTATATCCTACCTATATCCTACCTATATCCTTCCTATATCCTACCTATTATATCCTACCTATATCCTACCCATTATATCCTACCTATATCCTACCTATTATATCCTACCTATATCCTACCTATTATATCCTACCTATATCCTACCTATATCCTACCTATTATATCCTACCTTTATCCTACCTTTATCCTACCTATTATATCCTACCTATATCCTACCTATTATATCCTACCTATATCCTACCTATATCCTACCTATATCCTACCTATATCCTACCTTTATCCTACCTATATCCTACCTATTATATCCTACCTATATCCTACCTATATCCTACCTATATCCTACCTATATCCTACCTATATCCTACCTTTATCCTACCTATTACTACCTATATCCTTCCTATATCCTACCTATATCCTACCTATTATATCCTACCTATATCCTACCTATATCCTACCTATATCCTACCTTTATCCTACCTATATCCTACCTTTATCCTACCTATATCCTACCTATATCCTACCTATTATATCCTACCTATATCCTACCTATATCCTACCTATATCCTACCTATATCCTACCTATATCCTACCTATATCCTACCTATTATATCCTACCTATATCCTACCTATTATATCCTACCTATATCCTACCTATATCCTACCTATTATATCCTACCTTTATCCTACCTTTATCCTACCTATTATATCCTACCTATATCCTACCTATTATATCCTACCTATATCCTACCTATATCCTACCTATATCCTACCTATATCCTACCTATATCCTACCTTTATCCTACCTATATCCTACCTTTATCCTACCTATATCCTACCTATTATATCCTACCTATTATATCCTACCTATATCCTACCTATATCCTACCTATATCCTACCTATATCCTACCTTTATCCTACCTATTACTACCTATATCCTTCCTATATCCTACCTATATCCTACCTATTATATCCTACCTATATCCTACCTATATCCTACCTATATCCTACCTATATCCTACCTATATCCTACCTTTATCCTACCTATATCCTACCTATTATATCCTACCTATATCCTACCTATATCCTACCTATATCCTACCTATATCCTACCTATATCCTACCTATATCCTACCTATTATATCCTACCTATATCCTACCTATTATATCCTACCTATATCCTACCTATATCCTACCTATTATATCCTACCTATATCCTACCTATATCCTACCTTTATCCTACCTATTATATCCTACCTATATCCTTCCTATATCCTACCTATTATATCCTACCTATATCCTTCCTATATCCTACCTATTATATCCTACCTATATCCTACCTATTATATCCTACCTATATCCTACCTATATCCTACCTTTATCCTACCTATTATATCCTACCTATTATATCCTACCTATTATATCCTACCTATATCTTACCTATTATATCCTACCTATATCTTACCTATATCCTACCTTTATCCTACCTATTACTACCTATATCCTTCCTATATCCTACCTATTATATCCTACCTATATCTTACCTATATCCTACCTTTATCCTACCTATTACTACCTATATCCTTCCTATATCCTACCTATTATATCCCACCTATATCCTACCTATATCCTACCTATTATATCCTACCTATATCCTACCTATATCCTACCTATATCCTACCTATATCCTACCTATATCCCACCTATATCCTACCTATATCCTACCTTTATCCTACCTATTATATCCTACCTATATCCTACCTATATCCTACCTATATCCTACCTATTATATCCTACCTATATCCTACCTATTATATCCTACCTATATCCTACCTATATCCTACCTATATCCTACCTATATCCTACCTTTATCCTACCTATATCCTACCTTTATCCTACCTATATCCTACCTTTATCCTACCTATTATATCCTACCTATATCCTTCCTATATCCTACCTATTATATCCTACCTATATCCTTCCTATATCCTACCTATTATATCCTACCTATATCCTACCTATTATATCCTACCTATATCCTACCTATATCCTACCTTTATCCTACCTATTATATCCTACCTATTATATCCTACCTATTATATCCTACCTATATCCTACCTATTATATCCTACCTATATCTTACCTATATCCTACCTTTATCCTACCTATTACTACCTATATCCTTCCTATATCCTACCTATTATATCCTACCTATATCTTACCTATATCCTACCTTTATCCTACCTATTATATCCTACCTATATCCTACCTATATCCTACCTTTATCCTACCTATATCCTACCTATTATATCCTACCTATATCCTACCTATATCCTACCTTTATCCTACCTATATCCTACCTATATCCTACCTTTATCCTACCTATATCCTACCTATATCCTACCTTACCTGTCCTACCTATTGTATCATGTAATCAAGCTCTTAACGTCGCTTCGTTAAATTAAAATGCTAATCACTGGCTCCTCAAACTTCAATAATGTACTATTTCAGGAATTTCAGGAATCCTGATCGGTTTCTTTGGCCTGTTTGTAGCCCCAGGGTGCATGATAGCTGGTCATACAACCCACTACTTACGAGCTAGATGGGGTCTCGATATTAAAGGTATCAGCTGCCTCTTCATGTGCCTTGCTACAACCTGCTGCTCTGGTATTGGGATGGCAGGTCTCATCAGCTCCAAGGAACTGTCCGTGTCGATGATGCTGGTATTCCGGCTACTACAAGGGGTTTCTAATTTAAATGGAATGAAGATGATAGCTGAAGGATGCAACGTGTGAGAAGAAGGCTGGTGCTGGGTATTGTGAACGGTGGGGGTTACTCGGGGATAGCTGTAGCTAATGTACTGGGCAGTTCCATTTACCAGTACTATGAGAATTGGACTATTACTTTCCTGGTGACGGGCGCTATATGTGCGGGTATTCTGCTGCTAAACCTCTGTGTGCTGCCCAACAAAGAGAAATCCTTGCTTTCAGCAAACGGTGGTGGTCAGCATCCCTTTAGAGTTAATATCAAATGTGACGAAAGAGTGTGTGGAAGATAACAAGCAAGACTTACTATGCGATCTGACAACCTCAATTATATTCCCCATGCTAGTGACCTTTACTTTTGAATTGATAGGAGGTTACACAGGTTCAATAGTGTCTCCTTATCTAACTGAAGTGGCAGCTACCTCTGTCTCACAAGGTGGAGTATATGTCATGCTATTAAACCTGGCTATGGGGGCTGGCTCCATTATTGCTGGTCTCCTCCTGCAGCACAAGATCTTATCTTCCGCTCAGATAATCAGTACTTCAGCCTTGATTGTAGGTCTAGGAATGTGGTTACTCTTCCCAGGACGTGCTGTGGGTATACTTCATGATAACGTTCAGTTAATTGCCAATGGAGCTGTTATATTGATTGGTTGTGGAGCAATAATGGGAGAGATGGCAGCGTTTAAAGCCATGGAGGATCTACAGGTTACTGTCTTCAAAAGAGGGATGGGAACCAAGAACAGGTCTGTTTCTTCCGGGCTGTTCTATGTAATGGTGTCCGTAGGATACAGTGCAGGCAATTCAATTTGTGTTGTTGTGTTGCATTATCTGAGTTATGAACAGGGTGCTTTTATAATTCTGGGCTGCACGGGGATGGTTCTACTTATAGGTGTCGTTTTGGAGGTCGTTTTGAGGAGACAGTTTTGTAAAGACTCTATCCTTGTAGAAACTTAAACAGCTTATGGTCGTTGGTGAAATGATGTCGTCTTGAGCGGATAATAATTGGAAGAGTAAACAATGAATCAGATCATAATAATATTTGATTTGAGATCGATAACAAATTACACTAAGACTGGTATATTTTCAGTTTCAACTAAATTTGAATTTTGTGGTAAGAATGAAAATTGTTATACATTTAAATCGGCTGTATCTTCGGTTGGGATGAATATTTTTTGATGCGATTAAAACTTTCTTTCAATGGTTACTATGCAGCTTCATATTTCTCACTTTCTCATCTTATTTGCACGTGGGCGGTCGTACATACATATTACATACATATTACATACATGCAAACAAAGATAATCTTTCTAATTATATTATGTTAGATAATTATTAATTAATTAATTATTAAACCTCAGGCATAATACGAGACATCCGGCTGGATAACCTGGAGCGGGTAGTGACCAACAGGTTGGGAGGTTACGGTAGCGGCGGTCAGGGTATCAAAATATGCGCTGATATTTCTAGTAGGGTCAATGTGGGAACTTGTCTTGCTGTCATATATCATACTGAGGAAACGGTTAGTGTGCTAATTAGTAATTTATTCTTTTTGTTAATTATTTAATTTGCTGATTGTTAATTATTATCTCATTTATAATAATTAAAAGACCTTTGAATGAAGTTTAACCATGTTGATTAATTAACATGAATTGATTTCCATAATATGGTTCTCTGATACGTCATTGTAAATCATCCAAATAAAATTAGAAAACCTATTTTCCTTAAAAATCTCGGATAATTATAATATGTAACACAAATTACACATGTATTATATTTATTGTATTATATTTGAATTATATTTAATTATATTGTATTTTGATACTATTTTAATTACAGTTGGCACCAAAGATAAAGAGTGTAGTGAATACTGCTTTCGAGATCGAGAAGATTCACTTCAACAGAGTTATCAGGACCTTTAGGTTTGTAAAATATTTGTAATATTTGTAATATTTGTAATATTTGCAGGATTTAGCTTTACGTAGAACCTCTTATTATACATTTGTTGTGATTTAAATGAGATGAGCTGAGAATGTGATTATTTATCTAGGAACGATGAGTCGGAGAAGAAACAACAGAGGAGAAACAGGAATAGTAAGAGCGGCAGTAAAGAAAACGCTGAAAAAGAAGGTACAGTATTTCATACCAGATAACCAATCACCAAATATACCAATATGTTGCTTTTGATATGAATATCAAAATTTGGTTTAGCATGTAATAGGAAGTAATACTTTCTCGTGTTTATTTTATAATATTAAATATTAAATATAATATAATATTAAATATATAATTAATACTTGCCCTGCATATTTTGTACGTTTCAATGCAATTTTCATTAACAAGGTCACTTATAAAAGAAACAGATTATTTAAATATAAACTTAAGGCTAAATTAAAACATGCTTTTAACAATAAAAGATTTCCCAATACCATAAAAAATATCCACCTAAGCCGTTCAATCGTAATCGCGCAACCTTATCAACCTTATCAGTAACTGTTTTTACTTATACCAGATAACAAGGAGGATAAGGAAGAATCAAAGGTTGGAAGTTCAGTTTCAAGTGACAGTGTTCCTAAAGACTACGTAGTTGTTGTTCACACTGAACATGGTGGGTCACCGGTCATGTAACATCATTGTTATTAGGAATAATCACCCACATTAAAGTCTGTGAATAATCACCCACATTAAAGTCAGTGAATAATCACCCACCTTAAAGTCAGTGAATAATCACCCACATTAAAGTCAGTGAATAATCACCCACATTAAAGTCGGTGAATAATCACCCACATTAAAGTCGGTGAATAATCACCCACATTAAAGTCTGTGAATAATCATCCACATTAAAGTCAGTGAATAATCACCCACATTAAAGTCTGTGAATAATCATCCACCTTAAAGTCTGTGAATAATCACCCACATTAAAGTCAGTGAATAATCACCCACATTAAAGTCAGTGAATAATCACCCACCTTAAAGTCAGTGAATAATCACCCACCTTAAAGTCAGTGAATAATCACCCACATTAAAGTCGGTGAATAATCACCCACATGTAAGTCGGTGAATCAATAGATCACTCAGAAAATACTCTTGAACTAAATGTGTGTTACATTTTAAAGTGTGTTGTTTAAACTTTTCTACTCTTCAGGCGAACAAAGAACAGTTACTGAGAAGAAAGAGTAAAAGGACGGACGCAGAAAAAGAAAAGAAAATAGATAGCGGACATTTTGCGCTGCGACCCTTGGCTCTCTACCCCTTTTTTCTTGAGTTGTAATTTATTACACAGATGCTTTGACATTTTAAATTTAATGTTATGGGACGAAAATATTAAAATTGCAATTACTGACGATTTCCCAAATACTTTTCTTTGCTGTAACTATCTCTACCGTTTGATAAGTGGTCGGTGGTTGCAATTTATTTATCAAATGTTTAAAATTCTACTTAATATACCCATTGGTGTAATATAACGCTTACGTTACTATACTTGTTATCAAGAATTAATTAATTTCTATGGAAACACTCAATCAATGGTTTAGTTACTGGATTTGAAAATGAGTAAGCAGTTTTTATTGTTGTTTAATTTATAGTTAGACTTTAAATTATTAGTTTGGGGTTTATCTATAGATGCTAGAAAATTAGATAACATCACGTGTTATGACGTCACATGATATTGTGATGACGTCACACCACGTGTTACGACATTATTTCAGTCTGTTTTTTAAATGATTATCAAATATTTTTACTGTAAAGTAAGAATTTAGCATGGAGAAATGTGGTATTCAATCAATAATTTGATTTTTCTACCGTTATGATAAATCTTGCGGAATGTGGTTGACTGTTGAACTTGTGTTGTTGTTATGTGATTAAAACAACACAATGTTGTCAAATTGTCTCTTAGTTAAATTAATTGTTAGTCTTAAAAGACTGGAATCTTCTGTTTTCAATGAAGAAAAATCTTATATAAAGATTGAGCAATCCCTTTTATTGTTTTTTGCTCAAATAAACTATGTGAAGCTTAGAATGTAGCTGTAAAACTATTAAATGCATCGTTTCAAAACTCGTGTTTTCATGATTTACTTTACGAGACATATTTAAATGGTACGAAAGCCGGTGGTTTTTCGAGAAAAAAATTTAAAGGAAAAAACAATTATTTTTCACGTATTTTCCTTAATTAAGACTTTATCAATTTACTATCAACTTATCAATGCAGTAAGTTATAAATATGATTCATCAAACAATTAATGAACACTAGTATTCTATTATGAATTGCTTTTAAAATGATCTTGGTTGGACACGTTCCATTGACAATAAGCAAGCTCTGTCACTACTTTATTGGCCACGGCGGTCTCCTATATCCTCTGGAGGATTATAAAGTAAGTTGAGGCTAACTTTCGAAGGGTCCGGAGAAATTGTTTACAAGATGAAACAGCTGATCAGAGAAGATTTTTGTATTCAATTTTCTCAAATATTGGGTTTTATTTTTGTAAAATAAGGTTCCCAAATCATTTAGGTCACTGGAATTATATCGAACATAAATATGTCTCGTAAAGTAATTAACTTAATGCAAAATATTTTGAGTACTTATCCTGAGTACGTAAATACTCTTTTAGAACATAATTGTATACTTAAAAAGAAACATGATAATACCATAGTCTAGTACATTGTAGGCCTCATGTCATGGACGATACTGTCACACCAACTGATGAAAGCAAACCAGCAGAAGTAAAGACAACCCCCGACTCAGAGTTAGGTAATGATAAACATTAAATAGTTATAATTAATAACGATTACTTTAGATAGTATGATTAAGAAATAGTATTTATAACATACATACTCAAGAGGAAATATTCAACTTACCGCAGAGCTAGCTTATTAATAGATTGTATTAACCTTCTGTTAAGATTATTATTTTAACCTTTATTGATTTGGTAGGGAGGATATCAGCCGATCTACTATCACAAGATTCTGAACTTCAAGAGCTAAAAAAAGAATTATCAGAAGTTAACGAATCGTTCAATACTTTCAGAAATGATTACAGGTAAGAGATTGCAACTGAATTGTTATGGGGTGTCATTATTTTTTCTAAACAAAATAGACAAAATAAAAGATGGGATCAGAAATTTGCAGCGGACATATTTTCGTCAAAATCGGAAATATTTGCGACAAACATCTTTCTTTAAAAGTTGTCCAATAATTATGTCAATAACTGCTAGATCTCTACTTATAATGGTGTGCCGCGTAGAATGTAGATAGTGGCATTAAGATGAAAGCATTTTGCGACGAAATGATACCCCTTAAACATTCACAGCGTCTTTGATGCCAAACAGTTTGTCACGAGATCAGACTTATCCTTCACCGGTCTCAGTTTATCACGAATAAGATACTGTTTCTGTACGGCGCGAAACCAATTTTGTGGTACTGGCATCATGCACGGTTTTTATTCACCGCGCGCGCGCGCGCGCATTTTATATACAATGCATGCGGCTGCTGGCTGCTGGCTGCTGGCTGCTGGATTCGACGGACGTACGTTAGATCGATACGAAGTACGCCGGGTATATGTACACAGCATAATCTATACATTGCCAGCATTTGACTTCAAGATCCCTGGATAATATCGTCCCTCATTTTACAGCAAATCAGAGCAGTACAAATTGTATAACATATACTTACTTTTCAGTAATCTGCTAACACTGTACAATGAAACGAATGATGAACTGCAAGGTTTACTACGGGACAGGACCACTGGGGAAGCTGGTAAGCAAACTTTACAAAGAAACAAGTTCAATGGTGATAAAGATGGCAAAATATCCACCCATATTTGTGGGCAGATAAATTATTCTTGCTAATCCTGCTCTGCATAACACATACTATCGATGTTTTATCTTGCTTAGTACACACAGATCCGTGTGGAAAAATTGATTTCCCGACACATCGAGCTTTTTAAGGAATTTTTACATTTTAGAGTCCCACTGCACTGGGTGTCTTCTATGACTGACCAACTTTCTGAACGTTTCCACTTGTTCAAAGGCCACTTTTTGCCACGTTTTAAAAATGGAGCGGGTTATATCTTCGCCGAAAGCATATCCAATTTGATACGTATGAAATAGTTCTATGACTTGCTTGATGATTGAAAGCTGGTCGGTGCCAGGCGGTTCTAATGACCAATTAAAACATATAAAATAATAGTAAATAATAATCCCTCTGTTCAGGGCACTGCACACTATATGGTTCATGTTTAATATGAACTCACCCCACACTTCAATAGCCTAAAATGAAATCAAACCGCACACATACGGCATACCACAACACATATCATCACTCGATTGGCTTGTCTTTTGAGTGAATTGTCCCCGATCGTATGAAGTGCAGTTTGTCAGGTTCCATTTCTCTTTCCTTCACCAGTTCATGAACCAGGAGCCTGTCCTGAGATCGCTCTTCTTCGGAGCGATCTGGTCTCACATACACTTTGTTGTTAGTTGCTGAGTGGCGCAGCTTCTTGACTTGACTTAGCACTTGATGGACAGCGCTGTGACTTGATAACGAAACCTTGACTGGGCGCTTCGAATTTTCTTTATGGATCTTTCCTACTCTGATAGCCTGCAGAGTAGGTTTTAGTCTTATCTTCTGGAATAACTCCTGCACTCGCTCTTCAACATTCTCGTCCTTCTGTTCTGACAGTCCAAATAATACAACGTTCCTGCTCCGATCCTCCTCCTGGACGACGGACTTGACCAATTTCTTCAGTGTAGCCGGATCTGCTAAACTATCAGTCTGACTGACCATAACATTCTCCGCAGCTGCTTCACTGTATGACTTGAACTGTTCTTTCAAGTTGCTCTCCACTGACGACTTGACCACAGTCTTTACTGCGTCGAGCTGCTTGTCCTTGTTGTCGATTATCTGCTCCTGTAAGCTGATTACCCATGTCTGATTCTCGATTAGCTGGCTCTTGATGGAGCTCCGCTCAGCCTTCAGCTGTTTCATTTTTTCCGCCTGAAACCGCACAAAGTGAAACGATTCAGAAAACAGTAATGCCTAAGTGTCCTTCATCGCACGTTTACACACTGCTGACGTCACGTCGACTGGAGCAGTGCACCCTACTTGTTCCATCACTTTAGGTATCCAAGCAGAACATTTCCCGAGTAGATCATCCAACTCCTTGTCGTTAACAGTAGCCATGGCTTATACACAATAAGCACACACAGTAATCTCGCCGTTAAACTAGGCGAGATAAGCAAGCTGATAAGAGACAACAAAAGTACAAACGAATGCAATTTGTGTGTGGCGTGAACTGAACTTGATTCTGCACTAAGTTCAAGTGTACTGACCAAAATTACCGGGAATCGTTTAAGATCACTTTCAAGGTACACATTTTTGAAATTCATCGGGAGGTCCCCTTAATTGTGCTATCAAATATTTTGTGAAGTAGAGACCGTTAATTTCTGGTCACAAGATCGTAAACACAATAAAATATTTCGATGAATTGAAATTAAATAGATACCATTTCGCACAGGAACACAATTAACTAATATCAAATTCACTAAAATCTTCTCATGGCTACATACTAAGACAAATCATATCATTCTATCAAAAATGAATGTAAGAGCTAAAGTAAAAAATCAAGAAATCCCCAAATGTTCAATGTTTACATGACACAAAAGAGCGTAACAAACACAAGGACAACTAAAGACATCTCCGACCTGGAGCTGCCACTATCATACAGCTGGTCAAGTAGCCGGTGTGTAATGTCTCGTCCGTTCAGGCCCTGGATCTCCCTGAAATTCTCCTCGTACGCCACCGCTCCTCTGAGAACGTCCATGTGGTCCTCGGAGAGGGTGATGGGTTCTTCCAGGACCTGCCAGAACACTATCTCGTTACACCCAGGGGTGGTCAGTCCTCCTCGGTAGGTGAATATGCTATTCGTTTGTGGTTTGTACAGGTTGTTCAGGTCAATGTTTGTTGTTCCTCCATTGATGAGTGACGCTATATTAATGCTGATGTCATCAGCAGCCATAAGACTCCCGGTTTGGAGGAAGACCCCGAACACTGCTAGGTAATCGTCTGCTTCCTCGTCCTCCTGATCCAAATTCCTGGTAACAAGATGAGCCTCCCCCTTGTAGTGCTTACCAAACAGCTTGTGTTCCGAGCCACCTGCTCCTGACGGTCCCCAGTGAAAGTGAAGCTGGAGAGCCTGCAGGCCCTTAGTGTGTCCTACTGGCCAGGTATCCGGCATCGAGATTGTAGGGGTGTCTGTAAGATCAAACTGCACTGTCTTCAATCCTTCTGTTCTCTTCGTCACCGCCTGACCCCCGCCGAAACTTGCAATGTTGGAGCTGTAGGAGACTGTATTCTTGACGCTGTTAACATCTATGGGGGACTGGCGATCTCCAGTGGTGCAAACACCGCCCCAAGCTGCCTGGTCGGCGTAGGAATATTCACCCTCAGCAGCCCAACCCAGGCTGATAACGGTTCCGAGGAGAAGGAGTAGCTTCATTGTTAAACTGAGAGAAAATAATGTTGAGTTTTAAAATGTTAAATACGTATTATATAGGGTATATATGTACTGTTTAGATAATTGTAACCAATAAAAATATTAATCAACGAGAATCATCATTCATCAGGTAAGTATTTAAATTTACAAAAAAAGTTGACCTATCGGTCCAAAAAAGTCTTCAATAGGTTTCATAGTCTTTAAAATGTTTTGGAAACAATGAAATTATAAAACTTTGATACTTCAAATCAAAGCCAAACAGAAAATAAAAACTTTAACTGAAAGCGAAGTAGTCTACTGGATATTGTAACTGTAAGGCAGTTCAAATATGGAGATATTTATAAGGTACGTGTCAGCCCCTTGTCTCAACATTCAAACACTCCAACATTCCCTTCATTACAATCGGATAGATTTTAGAACTGGTAATTGTGAAAGTAAAGTTTTCATTAGTAAAAACAACAAACGTAAATTGGGTTTGATAGCTCACTTTAACCTTGTTTTCGAACTGTTAAACCCGTATTCGCCTATTCTACGCAGTCGCTAAATCAGTTATATTTGTACCTTAATTTATTTATGGGAAAGCAGTTTATCGAATTTGTTGATTTTGTCCCCCTGTTCCACTATGTAAACAGTGATAAGTCATGTCATTTCAGATCAAGCATCTGAAAACATTCCCGTCTTTTCGATATCCGCTTATAGAATTAAGTCGTAAATAGCTGATTTTGTGGAATTTTAGAACTGAGATATCTTAAATTATGGCACCAGTTAATCGGGCGCGGAATTTAACATTTATGGAGTACTGTACTATGTGATTTATGAAATACAGTACTCAATCAATTCAAGGACAAAAGAAAATCGCGATTACTTAGGCCAAAAATCGCGGCGCCGCGATAAGCCAAACTAGGCAAAATCGCGGCGAAAGATAATGTATTTGCATAGCTAAGTTAGATGTCATATATTCGTTAAACTAGCCAGCATTAGTTTAGTTAGATTAGGGAGCGATGAGCAAAACAATAGTACATAACTACGCTATTACATCCTGCTAGAGTGCTAGATGTGGATCGATGAAACGGTGTACGACGGAGACTTGAAGTCGTCTATTCTCGATCAGCTTGCCTTAAGGAATCTCTAATACAAAGCCGAACCGCATGGAGAACGGTACTATGCACAAGAGAACGGCACCTTGTCTTTATGTTTAGCTTGTAGTTGTACTAGATATTGTATAAGTTGCTGGGTGAAATAAAGCGAGACGATATATATATATATATATATATATATGGATGGATCCGTGCCATTTTACTGACACCACGGCATCAACTTTAATGCGACTTTCCGCAAAAACCGTAAAAGATATACAACTGAAACTTTTGTGACTGGGTCAAATGCTTAAAGGCCTTCAAATCAGCATGAAAAATAAAAAATTGGCCAAGGAATAAGAATTTGAGTGCCCAAAATTTGGACGAATTAAATAGGTAATAATTATTTTAGTCTCTCAAGTCTTGACACCACTTTAGGGTTAGACGGGTTCCTGCTAGTTAAAATGAACGCTCGAAGGCATTCAAAACCGTCAAAAATCCAAATTTGTCATCTCTTTTTGGCGTTTATTAAATTTTAGCAAATAATTTTTAAATTAATTTTTCATACAATGAGCAAGAAAGGCAGTCGTTAAGCAGTAAAAGATGTCAAAATATCTGTAGATCAGTGTCTATTTATATTGTTTTTATAGTTCCACTGTTAGTATCTCAGGAATTTGTTGGTATCTCAGGAATTTGTCAGCTCATTGTTTGGGTCGAAGACTTTTGGCGTGAAGACTAGTGAAGGCGTCATGTAGCCGGTGGGCCCGACATGATACGACATATCTCGACACGTCGGGGTTTGTCAGGGTTTGTCGGGGTGTGTCGGGGTTTGTCGGGGTTTCTCGAGCCTGGAGGCTACATGATGCCTTAGTGACTACTGTCCCTAGATTCCTCAAGTCTCCTCTGGTCTGCAGTTATTTAACAGGGGCAAGTATAAACAATGGCGGGTGCCAAACAATAGCAGGTGCCGATAGCGGGTGCCATTAAATCTACAAGTATAAACAATACGACCGGACGCCAGTAATCTACCGCGAGTATCAATTGAGCTTCTCAAACAAAAGTGGGCAACAAAGCATGATCGTAATTTGAAACTTTGCCAGCACTGTTGATTTCAAGGAAGGTAGGTCTCAACACTGCCTGTCATGGACGATGAGGTAGTCCTGTTTAGACTTTAAGCGTTCCTCCTTTCCTCATGAGCGACGTGAGGAGTTCGCGCCCCTGAGTGGCAGCCAAGTCAGCATAATGGTTGTGTACCTTCCTTCCACTTCCAGTTCCGAGATACTAACCGAATCCGTTTTTTGGATTTTAGAGATCTTCTCACTATAATACGGGAAAGGGCGGGGTATTGGGCAGGGGAGGCGTACTGGCATGGGTAGGAGGGGGGTACTGGGCAGGGGGGTACTGGGCAGGGGAGGCGTACTGGCATGGGTAGGAGGGGGGTACTGGGCAGGGGGTACTGGGCAGGAGGGGGGTACTGGGCAGGGGGTACTGGTACTGGCAGGGAGGCGTACTGGCATGGGCAGGAGGGGGGTACTGGGCAGGGGGGTACTGGACAGGGGGTACTGGGCAAGGGTGGGAGAGTTTATTAATTTAGTGGTATCTTTATATCGAGATTCGAGAACTTACTGGCTGATAAGCAATGTAGATGTTCGTTTGTTCGATCGATTCTAGGTCATTGTAACAGAAAACTTGGTCAACTGAAAAAGTTATTTTTGCTATAAACTGGTAGGTTAGATTTATTTAAAGATATTTCGAAAAGCAACGTGGACTTTGTTTGCTAGTATTAGTACACAACTGACAACTCTCAATAAAAACTAAGATCCATAACATACCTGTACCTAACACCGTAATTTCTCTCATGTGAATAATCGCCACTTCGGTATAGGCGCCTCCTCTATGTCGCAACGTCACTTTCACCTCATCACCGCACTTCAGATGATAATGACGTCATAACACGTGGTGTGACGTCATAACACGTGGTGTGACGTCATAACACGTGGTGTGCCGTCATAACACGTGGTGTGACGTCACTTTCACCTCATCACCACACTTCAGATGACAAGGAAATCTGTACGTTTGACCCTCTATAGTCCAAACTGGGTTTACTTTTAGAACTCCACAGAGGTGTTCAAATCCTGTTTCTGTGTTGACTACAAATACTTTCGCATCTTGCATATATATGAAACATTTGACACGGAGTTGTAGAGTGAGTTATGTGCCTCGCCGGGCTGAAGTAGTGGATGTCCTTGCTGTACGGCAAGTTAAACAAGGAACTGAAACTACTAGGTTCCGTACAGGCTCAACTCTACACCCATGTCAATATGTTCATATGCAAGCCTCTTGATTTATATAATCAACGGGTCTAGTAATTGTTTAAGAGACTTCTCTGGCAGTTACGAAGCTCGAGAGACTGTGGGAAACTGAAGGGATAGGAAGCAGTTCTGCCTGACTGCATCAGTAATGATGTAATGACCAGTAATGAGCGTAAAAGATATACAACTGAAACTTTTTTGACTGGGTCAAATGCTTTAATGGCCTCCAATTCAGCATGAAAAAATAAAAAATTGGCCAAGAATTAGTGATTTTAGAGCCCAAAATTTGACCCCCAAGTGGTGTCAAAAACGCGAATTAAATAGGTAATAATTATTTTGGTCTGCTGAGTCTTGACACCGTTTAGAGTTATATTATACGGGTTCCTGCTTCACAAAAGAGACAAATTCAAACATACACCCTGCTGCACTGTAAATCGGGTTTTACGGTAAATCAACAATGACAACAACATGGCGAACCCGGAACCTAGCAAGCTAGGAACAAGGCCCGATCAGTGATCACCTTTTCGTGTGGCAGCTAGGCCACTCTCCTTTAGCTACAGTCTACAGATTTCCCTTCAGTATAGTGGGGTCCAAATTGGGCTGTCACAATACCTAATTTAGTCTATTTTCAGGTGCTAAATCAGTGGTACCTGACAACATGGCGGAACTGTTGGCGATCAGAGAGAACTGTAGAGAGCTGGAGATTGAGAGGGACAAATATCGAGAGGTAGTTACTAGGTCGTTACTAGGAGGTTACTACTTACTATGAGGTCACTAAGTAGTTACTATGTGATTACTAGAGGGTAACTAGAGGTTACTAGGTATTTACTATGCGGTTACTGTGTGGTTACTAGGTTGTTACTAGGTTGTTACTATGTGGTTACTAGGTGGTTACTAAAGGTTAACTAGAGGTTACTAGGTAGTTACTAGGAGGTTACTAGATAGTTACTATCTGAGGGTAACTAGAGGTTACTAGGTAGTTACTAGGAGGTTATTAGAGGTTAACTAGAGGTTACTAGGTAGTTACTAGTTAGTTACTTGAGGTTACTAGGTAGTTACTAGAGGTTACTAGGAGGTTACTAGGTTGTTACTAGGTGGTTACTAGGTGGTTACTAGATGTTAACTAGAGGTTACTAGGTAGTTACTAGGAGGTTATTAGAGGTTAACTTGAGGTTACTAGGTAGTTACTAGAGGTTACTAGGTAGTTACTAGAGGTTACTAGGAGGTTACTAGAGGTTAACTAGGGGTTACTAGGAGGTTATTAGAGGTTAACTTGAGGTTACTAGGTAGTTACTAGGAGGTTATTAGAGGTTAACTTGAGGTTACTAGGAGGTAACCAGGTAGTAACTTGGTAGTAATAACTCCAACTCTCTCCAACAGATGTATTTAGAAGCAGTAGAAACACCTGCATCTGCACCGCCTCCCCTCTCTCGTTCCACTCAGGAGGAGGATGTTGGCGAGCTACGTGAACAGATCCGGGACATGGTGGACCAGATGCAGGAGCTGGAGCTGGTCCGGGAAGAGATGGCACTGAGACTACAGCAGCAAGCAGGTCAGTGGTGTCATGTGACGTCAGTAGGGTGGTATCACGTGACGACACTAGGGATTACACTGGATTAAAATTAAATTATAGGACATAGGTCTACTATCGTGAACCGTCATAATTGTTTACAGAATTGGGTAGGTAAGTAAATTATTTAAAACATTCTTTTCTTTGTTTGAAATCAGGGCCAAAGTTCTAAGCCTTAAGATCTTAATTATGAATAATTTGCGAGGTTCTCACCAAATTGATGGTAAAATTGTTTAAGTTTCGTGCATTTGAATTACGTTGACGCATATCTTCGGTGAAGCTATTTCGCTCTTCGGAGCAGCGAAGGAAATAAGTGCACATACAGCATAGGAAAGCCTTTCTTGAAATTGAATATACTGTGGGATGTTTGGTTGAATATTGAGTGAGCGGTGGCAGTGAATATGGAGGCTCTGGTGATTTCGAGGATTTACAGTTGAGTAAGGAGACAAAATTTCTATAAGATGGTATTTGAGATTTATTTCATCGATATTGCTGGAGTCGGTTATTTCAGTGCTCATTTCAATAAGTGGCATTTGAGAAAGATTTGTTACTAATTTCAACCTCTGTTTTGAGTACAAGTCACATACATAAAGAACATGCGACTCGTCTTCGATGGTCTCGAGGCGCAGACTTGTTTGGCAGTTGGCACCAAGCACATAGTCTTTGCTCACGGGGGTGTTGGACGTGATGTTATTAGGGTGTTATTACGTGATGTTATTAGGGTGTTATCACGTGACGTCATTATATTGTACGGTGCGATCTTTGCCGTGTGATATGAGTTTTATTTTTTACAACATGACTTAACAATTTTACGTTTGTTGGCGGGAATTATATTTACGTACAATTCAATTTGATTATTTCAAAATCGTCAAATAATTGCATGCATTTTCGGGTAATTAATAAGTATAACTTCTATTAGTTATTACACGAGAGCAGTGCACCACTGCACGAGAGAAACAACGTGAAATAAATGAGAGCTCCTAAATCTAGATTGATAGAAACGAACACTAATAATAACAAACGATATTCATTATTTACTAGGTGGTTACTACGTGGCTACTAAATAGTAACTAGGTGGTCTTACAACTTTCCACATCACTCGACTGTCATGATTTACTGTCCTCACTTTTACGGTCAGTAAAAACACCCAATACCTTACCAAACAGCTCCAAAATCCACAACCTAAACTCCGTCATCCGGTAATAGTAGAGCAGCGGATTAAGGGTCACATTAACCGCTGTCATCAGAATCTTCCCGATGGTCCACGAGTAAAAAAACATGAAATTGTTGGTGAAGAAAGGGCCGGGGTAGCTGAAAGCTAGGAATGTGATAGTTTCCAGGGTGTAGAGGGAAAAGTAAGGGAGATTACAAGTGAGAAATAGTCCGGTTAACATGGCGATGGTAACAGTTGCGCGGCGGGACGACCTCCTGGAACTGTGCAGCTTGTTTCCACGTTTCAGCTTGTACACACAAATCAGGAAACTCAGGAAAATGATGACAGGGGGGACTCCAAGCTGTACTGTTGATCGAACGTTCGAGATCTTTAGAATTATCCCAACCATGGGTTTATTGAGACTGTAATCGCTCTCCAGTTCGTAGCAATAGGGTCCGTCAGACCCATACACATAGGTGATACCCGCACGGTACGCCATGAAATCAAGCACCAAGTTAATAACAGGATACAGCACAAACGAAGTAACCACAGCGTTTTTACTCACCCTCCTAAAGGGGAACACTATAGCAATTGTTCTTGAAACACTCATTAACATAACCAGAAAAGTTGACATCTCCATCAAAAAAGAGAAAATCACAGTCCAAGCCGCGCAGAATGCAACGCTGTTAAAAACCATGGGACGGCGCGCATTAACCAGCGGCGCGCACACTGGTAGGTGAGCCAGGCTGGTACACACATCAATTACTGCTATAGCAAGGTACAAAATGCTGGCTAGATCGTTCCTCTTGTTGTCCCAAAAGTACTTAAAAGCGAGAATGTTGACGGGGAAGCTGACGGTGGCTAGGAAGATCAGGAGAGCCGCTAGAAGGGCGTCCCAGTTGGTTACTTCTAGGTGGGGAGGAGGACTGTAGATTGCGACGTGGGGGTTGTATTCTGTTGTCATGGTTACTATCTGAGGTGTATTTCATGGTTACTATTATATGATAGAATTAGAATTTAGTAAAATGTTTTACTGTTTTACAAATGAGTTAGAAAAGTATCAAGTCAACGAAAAATAATAAGGACAGCTTTCACAATCCTGTAAAACCAAAAATCCCCGACAATCTCTCTAACCGCGTGTAAATAATCTTGAATACCTGCCTCATCAGTGATTATGAACTGTCAAAAGGGGATACAATTATAATCTAATAAAACATTATATACACTCGTGATACGAGAGTACAACCATTGCCTGCGCCTCTGACCTCGACCCCTGGTAAAGTTGATCACCAATGGTAAAGCTTGTGGTCCTAAAGCTTGAGGGGACCTTAGAATTTACTTCCAAATATTCGCGTTTAAGTCCTGTGAAAGTGTGTAGAATCAAAAAATACGCCGGACTGTGAAATCGATAATTCGTGCAATATCACGCCGCGCTCCTATTGGCTGATAGCAATTTTGGGCTGTGACGTCACTTATGTGTTAAGACCAACGTGCGCGCGCACCTTTTGCTCGTGTCAACATTTTGTTCTGTTCTCATGTTTTAATTACGTCGTGTTACCTTTGGCGTTTGCGAGAGCGGTATCTTTGGTTGCACTGAATTAGTCTAAGTTACGAATAATTCTCTTTAATAATAATAGTTAAATGTAACTCAGAAAGGCTTTCTTGTAGTTGTAGTAGGTATTTCTATTTATAAATAGCAAAGATAAGTAGCATCCGCTAACTAAACCACAAACTGCTATTTTGTTTTGACTTGTTTGAAACCCGATATGGACACAATTAAAAAGAATGTATGATGTAGTAGAAGACATTTTACTAGCTGGCCCTTGGCGCCTCTAGTCCTATCTGAGTACGCACGTGCGGTTTGACACTGCGCGTGTACCGGCCTTTAGTTGTACACTCATTTATAATTTACCGTTTTAGTTTGCTGTGACTTGAGTGTAAAGCGTAACGAATGTGGATGTGTTCGTCTGCTATGCTTGGTATAATATTGCTTGGTGTAATAGTTGCAAATCTTGCTTACGTTATAAGTAGTGTCACATAGTGAGTTAGAACTTAAAAGCTTGGTGCTTGGTGCTTGTCCAACTGGAATGCATTTCATACCTACCCGATCCATTTTTATTAGGACCGTGTTGTGTTGATATGACATGTTGAAATATCAACTGTGGTACGAAACAGGGAGTTGCTAGGTGTTACGTCGCGTTAGGAGCTATAAATATACATAATTTACATGCCTTTCTGTGTGACTTCAATCTTATTCCAGGTGTATCTCGGCTCATGGTTATCGTAGGGTGATAATTCTTTTTTCAACCGGTCATATAAAGTCTCCTCTCCATTGGTTATAGGCTCGTTAGTATCGTAAATTGTTAATTTATTCTTAATTAGTAATTTAGTCGGCCCGCACGCTCATTTTACCTGTATTTCTATATGCGCGGATCAGAGCAACTCACATAATTGACGTCACAGGTTCAAATTGTTTTGGCTGGATATCTCGGCGCGCGAATGAAATACAACTTTGCGGATTTCACTAAAGTGGTTTATACGATTAATGTAATAAAAGGATTTGCACGAGAAAAAAACTTTTTCTAAGGTCCCCTCATCCTTTAACCTGTGTATATGCCTCCTAATGACATTGTTATTTGTTCACTTAGATTCGCAAGTTGGCCAGTTGGGGTTTAGGTTGTTATATGAGTATTGCTGAAAGCACAGTGTAAGGCCTACACGGACCGCCTCTAACTAGCCAATCCCTGTTTACATGCCGTGTAGCAGGGGACTAGAAAGAGCTAAACTAAATATGATATTATACTCGAAGTGCATCTTCATATGATTAGGAGTCCGCTCGCGAATTTTAAATTCAGCCGGTCATGCCAGTTTGAGGAGCAGGTAGTCTTAGGAGTTAGGGCGCATGTTTGCCAATTATCTTGGTTACCATGGTTACCATGGTTACCATGTAAAATCCGGATTGGAGTATTATTTATGAGTCGCATTGTTGTAAATACTTTCAACACTACTATATAACAAATAATTTGAGATCATGAATACGATGTAGTTACATTGAAACGTCGAGTAATCTCCTTTCCCTAATAAGAGCATTTACTTGTCGCAACAACCGGGATAAAGATAATTTTACCCAGAATACATGGTTACCATGCTTAGGGCGCATGGGGAACTGGCAGGAAAATGGATAATTATGTAACTAATGATAAAAACAACTAATTAGACAGGTAATCTCCATAAAATTATAGAGTTGAGGCACGTTAGTGTCATTACCCGTTACAAAACTACATAGCGGGATGGCCAATAATATACTTTAGTTAGTCTAGTCATATTAGTCTAGCAATAATCTTCGTTTAGATTGGCGAGATAGGACTATATTTTGCCATAATCGGATGGCTAATAATTGAATGTAATCAATCTAGATGAGTAGTTATAGCACACCACCAATGATCAACAGTTTTAAGCCACTAAAAATGCGAGGAAAATCAGTTTTGTGACGTTAATTACACTCGCAGGAATTCAAATACTTGCCAGGACTTTGAATACACAATGGTGGTATTGGGTGGGGTGGTATTGGGTGTTAAAATTAACGACACTGAGACAAACTTTACCGTATAAACTCTCAACATAACACTCAGAGGCGAACTAAACTTAGTTGTGCTGTAATATCACGTGACGTCATATCATGTGGTGTGACGTCATATCACGTGGTGACGTCATATCACGTGATACAGTTAGTTACGCTACCTCCAAAGATAAGCTGGGCCAGTGAAACGGTTACATCTTATTGAAGTAATGAACATTAGACTCGTTATCAATATGATCAAACCCCCAC